AAGAAACATGTATTTCATTGATGATATGAAATATAAAAAAGGCCATAAAGGCAAGTTACAAAAACACCTTCCAATTTGCTATGAGGTCGTTTAAGTTGTAACTAATGAAAGGGGAGTAGAAACATTTACACCATTCTAGGGCGAGTACAATAGCTCTATCAAAAAAGATCTCAAAAGGAAGAGAAGAGTCGTTAAAAATCCTATTGTTCTTTTCCATCCACAACCTCCAAAGGTAAGCTCTAATGGCTTGTGCCCAAAGGATTGCCCTCCTTTTTTGAAAGGGTGACCAGCCATGAGAAAGTTTTCTTTATTTGTTTGGTTGTTTGTATTATTTTCATGGACATTTTTCTAACCTTTCGTCAACCAATGAAAAGTTTGATTGTTGTTAAAAAATTGGAAAACCCTTGGGATCGCAATTTTCATAGGAACCAAGATGATGAGATTATGGAATGGGCCGCCCTCTCCCATTTCATCTCAAAGACTAAGATTAGTTGCGGTCTAGATAGGCGGGAATGGCCTCTTGAGTCCTCTAAGGCCTTCCTGGTGACATCTCTGTCTCCATGAGCTCCAAAGTGTGGCCCTGAGTCCGCTCCTTTATGTAGATTCGTCTCCAAGAGCTCCAATCTTTTGACACTGTAACTAATGCAGTCCTATTTGTGGCTTTATGCTGGTATAAGCACATGTATCCTTATTCATATTATAGTATGAAGACTCTCATGGGTTGGTGGAAATTTTTTTGTAACCACCCTTGGCAACTGGGAGACTTTGTCCCCAATGAAATATGATTCTTCTAACAAAAAGAAAAGAAAAAGAGAGAGAAAGAAAGAAAGAAAGTGGGCCAAATGTTTGAAGATAATTTTAAAAAGGTTCTTCCTTCCAAGAAAAGAAAAAGGTGTTGTCGTCAAGACTAAAAAAGGTTCTTCCTTCCATTATCAGCGACACTCAAGCGGCTTTTGTGGAAGGCTGTCAAATATTAGATGCCATTCTCACAGCCTCGGAAGCGGTAGGTAGTTGGAAGAAAGACAAGAAGAAAGGCTTTCTTCTCAAACTTGACTTCAAAAAAGCTTACGATTAGGTAGATTGGTCTTTCCTTGATGCGGTTTTGGAAAGAAAAGGCTTTGGGCCTAGATGGAGATTGTGGATCAAAGGCTGCCTTTCCTCTACGAATTTCTCGGTTCTCTTTAATGGTAAACCTAGAGGCAAGATTGTTGCTAAGCGTGGTCTGAGGCAAGGCGATCCCTTGTCTCCTTTTCTCTTTACCTTCATCGGAGATACCTTAAGCCGTTTAATTCATTTCTGTTGGGAGAAAAACATTTTGCGAGGCCTTTTCCTTTTTGGGGGACAAGGTTGAGCTCACACACCTGCAATATGCAGATGACATTCTTATCTTTTGCCCGGCTTAGGATGATCTGTTAGGCAAATGGTGGGGAGTTCTCAACATTTTTTTGGTTGCTTCAGGCTTGTCTCTAAATGTGGGGAAGACTTTGCTGATTGGGATAAATTGTGAAGAAGATGAAGTGGTGCATTGGAGCAGTATGTTGGGTTGCAGATTTSAGAACCTGCCTTGTACCTATTTAGGTTCCCCTCTGGGAGGTAATCAAAGGGCAAAGATCTTATGGGAGCCAGTAGTTGATAAGATGAAAGCTAGACTTGACAAGTGGAGGAAATTGCTTCTTTCATAAGGTGGGAGACTTACTCTAGCACAATCCATGTTGAATAGCATCCCGGTGTACTTCTTCTCACTATTAAAAGCCCCTAAAACAGTTGTGTCGGCTATGGAGAAGGTGATCAGGGACTTCATTTGGAAAGGGGGAGTCGATAAAAAAGGGAGGCACCTTGTTAATTGGGAGACAGCTTTCGCTCCTCAAAAACAGGGTGGTCTCGGGATTGGGTCGTTGAAACAGAGGAATCAATCTCTTCTGTACAAATGGCTTTGGAGATTCGCACACGAGGAGAAAGCTTTGTGGAGACGGGTCATTGGAGCAATCTATGGGGTAGGGAAACACGGCTGGTTTTCTATTCCTACGAATGATGCCTCAAAAGGTCGTCCTTGGAAAGATATTGCTAGAAACAGAGGCAGCTTTGAGAATATGACCACTTTTAAAGTTTGTAAAGGAGACCAAGTGAGATTTTGGGAAGACGGCTGGGCAGATTCTTTGCCTACTTCTTCCTCCTTCCCTGATCTGTACAAGATTTCTACCAAAAAAGACTGCACTGTGGCAGATTGTTGGGTGTCTTCATCTCAGACTTGGGATTTGGGGCTGAGAAGGAATTTTTTTGACAGAGAACTTAGTCGATGGGCAAGCTTTTTAGAGAAGATTGATTTCTGGCAGCCAAGGAATGGGAAAGATAAACTTTGGTGGAAAGGGGATAGCAGTGGGGTTTTCTCGGCAAAAACAGCGTTCTCCCTTCTGTCTAAGCCTTCACCAAAGCTAAAAGCTCCAGTCGTCTCCTACATATGGAATTTCAAGGTGCTGAAGAAAGTAAAATTCTTCTTGTGGACATTCTTCTATAGGGGCATAAATACGGCTGAGAGGCTCCAAAGAAGATTTCCTTATTGGGCTCTGTCTCCTTCTGTTTGTGGGCTTTGTAACGGTGCTACTGAGACTATAGATCACCTCTTCCTTCATTGCCCTTTTCCTACTAAGGCTTGGGATTTGTTCGGGCTGAGCTGGAATTACAGTTTTGCCTTCCTAGGTGGATAGATGATCTTTTTCTTGAAAATTTTGGGGGAGGTTTGCTAAAAGGTAAAGCCTATGTGCTTTGGAATTGTGCGGTCAAAACGACTCTTTGGTTGATATGGAAGGAAACTATTTGGTTGATTTGGAAGGAAAGGAATAGAGACTTTTCGAAAACAATTACCCCACCTATGAGAGTTTTTGTAACAGTGTACAGCATGTTGCATCTTGGTGGTCTTTATACCACAAGAAATTCTTTTGTAATTATAGCCAATTATAGCCTACAGTTGATGGTTAGAGATTGGAAGGCTGTCATTGTCTAGTTTCGGGGGGGTTTTCTCAACCCCGCCCTTAGCTTATATCCTTTTTGATAGATCAATGAATACTTTGTTTCCTATAAAAAGAAAAAGATAATTTTAAATATTTCAGACCAACAGATGATCTTACAGAATTGTTTTGTACATCTTTGTGACTGTAATGGAATAGTATTTAAAAAATTTCTTTTGAGAAATTCCTCTATGAATAATTTTTCCTTTTCATGATTATCTGGTGTAATATGGTTATTTATTTATTTTTATTTTTGGTAGTGTATTGCAGCCATCAGTGACTGCCCTATTACCCATGCTAGTCAGCTCTCTAACCCATTCCTTGGTCTTCCAATTGAATTTGGAAAATGTGAATCTTGTGGTACTTCGGAACCTGGGAAGTGTGAAGGTATTTTGATAATCTACTTGATTGATTAGTAGATTTTCTTTTCATTTCATTCATGAAGAAAACTTGACAGTTTTAATTTATCTTCCACTTTCAGGCCACTTTGGATATATTGAATTACCAATTCCCATTTTCCATCCCAATCACATTACTGAACTGAAAAAGATGTTGAGCTTGCTGTGTTTGAAATGCTTAAAAATGAAAAAAAACAAGGTATATAGGAAGAATTCCTTCACATACATTTGTTTTAGTTCGTATCATGTTAGAAAAAAGATATGTACATTTGTTTTACTGAAAGTTAGTGCCTACATGTCTACTTTTTTGACTGTCTTTATGTTACCTGATGAGCGGACAGGCTTAAGTAACTCTGATACATGAATATAATTTATTATTATTATTTTTTGTGTAAGACACTATTTCATTGATGGTATGGAATTACAGAAGTGAGTCCTATTCAAGGGATTACATCAAACAATTCCATCTTGACAAAAGAGAAGAAAAGCTATAGTGATGGAACACAGGGAGCATTTACACCAAGATATAACAAAAAAAACTATAGCTTAATAAAAACAATCAAAAGAAAGCTCTTTTTCCTTTGAAGATACGCTGATTTATCTCTCTCCAAGTAACCCAAAAAGGAGGCTCTAATGAAGTTCATCAAAGTAGCTTCGTCTCCTTTTTGAATGGGTGTCCCACAAGAGCCATTTCCAAAAGGAGAGGAGGATCTACCGGCAGTGCTATGGACCATCCAAAAACAGAAAGAATGGACCACCAAAACCGGGTAGCATAATCACAGGATACAAAACGATTCTGTTGTGTTTTCAAATTAGCCTTGCAAATTGTGCACCATTGTGGGGATAGGACAAATAGGGCAGTCTACGTTGGAGCTTTTCATTAGTGCTGATAGCTTTGTGGCTTAACTCCCAGATAAAGAACTTTACCTTTTTGGGTTATGAATCCTTCCATATAGCTTCTGCGAACAATGGGGTGGGGCCTTGTTTCTGTTGGGAGAGGTCTTTGACAAGGGAATTTGTAGTCAAGAGACCGTTTGGTTCAAGCTTCCAGTGGAACGTGTCTGCATCGATTGTTAAGTGAATAATAGAGAGATGGTGGGATAAGGCTGCCCATTCCTCTATTTCAGCCTTCTTTATAGTTTTTTTTAGTTATTACATGGTGTAATGCTCTTCATTGTTTCATCACTATAGCTACACTTCCCTTTTAGCCAATTGGAAGTGCTTCATGTGCTTCATGTACTCCCCTTTTTGGGCTTTTGTAAATTCCATACATTAATGAAATTATTACTTTCACACACACAAAAAAAAAGAATACTCAGAGAGTGATTATTTCTGAGTCTTCTGTTTCCTTACTAATTTTTGCAGGTATTTTTCCAGAAATTATATTTTTCTCATGCCATGCTTTTATTCTTATATATGTTCATTCTTGATTTCTCGCCTAAATTTTTCTTGGACATTTGCTTTATCTTCAGTTTCCTTCAAAGAATATTGGTTTTGCGGAAAGATTGTTATCCTCATGTTGTGAGGTGAGTACACCATGCTAAAGTTATCTTTACCAGCTTCTAACGTCTTTGCTTGTTTTGGTTCTGTTATGTGTGATAATTGATATGAGTGCTGGAAAGCTTGTAATCCTCTTGGCTTCTTGGGACATCTCATATTCTTATTTTTGTGTATCTTCTCTCTTTTTGGTTAATGGCTAGAAATTTCTCTGTAAACTCGTTATTTGAATGAAATGGATTTGTTTTCCTCTCATCTACCCCCACCAAGAGAGGGGGGGGGGGGGGGTTACGCCTAGGGAATAAAATGAAGTGTCCAAATAGGCCTGCAATTTCTCAAATTTAACGATGTATTCTAGCTTTAGTCATAATTTGATATGTTTCTCTGATAACGGCAACTTTACTAGCTGTTTAAATTTTTAGTTTGAGTTCTCTACAGTCACCTGCTAATCACTTTCATTTTCTTTTTGGAAGGATGCCTCACAAGTTTCTATTCGAGAGATGAAAAAAGCAGATGGTGCTAGTTACTTGCAATTAAAAGTACCATCTAGGACACCACTGCGGGAAGGATTTTGGGACTTTCTAGAAAGATATGGTTTCCGTTATGGTGATAATCTCACTCGAACTTTGCTCCCTTGCGAGGTTTAACACTCACCACTCTCTTAATTCTTTTAAGTTCTCTTTCATTCCTCCATTTGGTAGAAAATTATTTATCAGTTCTATTGTACGGGCCCATTTTGATTTCCTTCAATTGTTATCATTGGTTCAGTCCTTGCTGTCTTTTCATTTGGCTTGGAGTTCAAATACCTGATCTCAGATTCAACTCTCCTATTTTAGGCTTTTAGCTTTGCTTTTTAATTTTAGTTTTTGTCGTTATGTATGCTGTGTGAACTGGATTTTCAGTTTCCAGTAAAGTAATTATTTTCTAAGTTTATGAGTTTATATACATCCTCGACAATTGTGCTTCTAGTTTGCTGTTAAATAATTCCTTTTTCCTTTCTCTGTTTTCTTGTTCTTAAGAACCTAACAGACTATTCACTTCTCACTTCTCACAAAACTTGGGATACTAAAATTTAGATAAGATATCTACATTGGCCAAGAGGAGTGACTTAGCTGACAAATATTTGGATAGTTCCAAATAATTGAATAAAATTATTGTCATAACTTATTGATACTTTTGCGAATCAAAAGGCATGTTTTCTCAACTTTGTTTGGTGCATATAGAGATTGTTGTTCTATATTGTAGAGGGTTTTATTGCACCTGTCCTTTGATGATAACTGATAAGGGTCGAGTCCTTTAGCATGTTTTTTTGACTATATTGTGTGGGAAATTTGACTTGAGAAGAACAATAGGATTTTTAGAAGGACTAAGTGGTGATGAGAAGTATGCCAAAGCGAGCATAACTCGACAATAATTGACATATATCTCCAACCAAAAGAGCGTGAGTTCGAATCTCCACCTACACATATTGTATAAGTTAGACATTAAGTGGTCTTGGGAAAAGTTTGGTATCTTACCAGGTATAATGCCCCTCCTTGGGTGTCGGCTAAGGAGCACAAACAGTGAATGAGACACAGATATGACACGACACGGACACGAGGACAAACCAATTTCCAAAAAAGTAATATACAACATGCTAAGGACACGTTTTTTTAGAAACTATATGTGGGAATATTTTGAAATATGGCCAATATTTAGTACTTTTAAAGTATATTTCTACCTTTAAACACTAAAAGAACATTCATACAATTCATTAAAAAGATCGCAAGCAGCCGTCAGCCTAATGATAAGGCTTAGACAAGAAAAGATTGTGGTATGCTGAAAAATCATGGGTGGGTGGATAAGCAGAGAAAACTAATGTATGGTTTAAATTTCAAATGGTTAAATGAGTATTGAGCTAGGCTTTTTGTTGAATTGTTTAAACTTTTTGTTGAATTTTTTAAACTACCATATATTTTTTTGTTTTTCCTCTCAATCAGTGTCCAACTGTGCCAATCACGTGACCGTGCATGTCAAAAAATTAAAAAAACAATAATTTGGACTCTCTAATTGCCGTGTCAAATCCATGTGGGAAACATGTCTGAGCGTGTCCGTGTCCGGCACTGTCACTTAGGCAATTTTTTACGTCTATGCTTGTGTCGGTTTTCAAGAATTTTTGTAATAGTCTGTTGGGCCTTGTTTTTATCGGAGGGGACCTTGTTTGGTTTGCTTTTTTTTGTGGATGCTTTATTCGTTTGTTTTTTTATTCTTCTCAATGAAAATTTTATTTTTCATTTAAAATAAAATTCCTGTGTTCTTTATTCTTTAACTTCTCTGGGTGAAAATGGAACTGAGCAGTGAGTACTAAGTGCCCCATGGAAATGATTATTTGTAGTGATGATATTGTATCTTTTTTGGCTCTATAGTCTATGAAGTGTCTTTGGTTTGTTGATCAGTTGACGATCCTTTTTTTAATTCCTTTGGATATTCTCTCCTGCACTTTTCAGATGCTCAATGAAAAGTCTTGCTTCATATCGTAAAAAACTATAAAGGGAGTGATTATATGTATGAGAGAGACAGAGAGAGAATTTTGTAAAATGATGTATTGCTAAAGATATTCTGGAAAAATAAAGAACCATATAACATTGAAGGAAACTTGGGTAGAAATACATCAATGAATGGGGCAGAAAAGCTTGGTAAAAATGGATATTTCAAATCAAATGCTTGTTTGTTGATTAGTTGTACAACCTATAGAACAGATTGAATAGATCTGTTCAAGTAAGGCTTGGTTGTTGATGTTGATAAATGAGCTTGCCTTTGAATTCTCTTTCATATATACCACACCCCCACGCACACATCCCAGGCCTGTCAGAAAAAGAATTGTATTTGCACTGATATGTTGTATTGTTGGCTTTGACGTAAATTGACAGGTGAAGGAAATGCTCAAAAAAATTCCCAATGAGGCCAGAAAGAAACTTGCTGGGAAAGGATATTATCCTCAGGATGGATATATCTTGCAATATTTACCAGTCCCTCCCAACTGTCTGTCCGTACCAGAAATTTCTGATGGTGTTACTATCATGTCTTCGGTAAGACCTCGCACACAAGTGGGGCAGACCGGCTTCAGCAGGATTTCTTTTTAATTTTTAGAATATATTGCTATTGATAGTTTATTACTAAACCTTACTAATAGTTTACTTGTGTTATTACCTAGGATCCAGCTGTTTCAATGCTCAAGAAAATTCTTAAGCAAGTGGAAATCATCAAGGGTTCGAGGTCTGGCGCGCCAAATTTTGAATCTCATGAAGTAGAAGCTAATGACTTGCAATTGGCTGTTGATCAATATCTTCAAGTTAGGGGGACTGTTAAGGCATCTCGTGGCATAGATGCACGTTATGGTGTAAATAAAGAGTTAAATGATCCTTCCACGAAAGCGTGGCTTGAGAAAATGAGAACTTTATTTATTCGGAAGGGGTCTGGTTTCTCTTCTCGCAGTGTGATTACTGGAGATGCTTACAAACTAGTTAATGAAATTGGCGTGCCTTTTGAAGTTGCGCAGAGGATCACTTTTGAGGAGAGGGTTAGTGTGCATAACATAAACTATTTACAGGAACTGGTGGATAAGAAGTTATGTTTAACCTACAGAGATGGTTCTTCTGCCTATTCACTTCGTGAAGGTTCAATGGGCCATACATATCTGAAACCTGGTCAAATAGTTCATCGGCGGATCATGGATGGAGACATTGTTTTCATTAATCGGCCACCGACTACTCATAAACATTCTTTACAAGCCCTGAGGGTGTATCTGCACGATGACCATACAGTCAAGATCAACCCTCTAATATGTGGACCCTTGAGTGCGGATTTTGATGGTGATTGTATTCACCTATTTTATCCCCAGTCCATTGCAGCAAAAGCTGAGGTGTTGGGACTTTTCTCTGTGGAAAAACAGCTGCTTAGCTCTCATAGTGGGAATCTTAATTTGCAGTTGGGTACTGATTCATTGTTGTCTCTCAAGATGATGTTCAGAACATATTTCTTGGGCAAAGCAGCAGCACAGCAACTGGCGATGTTTGTTTCTTCATCTCTGCCATCACCCGCCATTTTGGGAGCTCGTTCTGATAGTCCTCATTGGACTGCTTTGCAGATACTGCAAACTGTGTTGCCTGCTTATTTTGACTGCCATGGAGATAGTTACTTGATAAAGAACAGTGATTTCCTCAAGTTTGACTTCGATAGAGATGCTATGCCATCATTAATCAATGAAATTGTGACATCAATCTTTTTTCAGAATGGTCCTGAAGAGGTTCTGAGATTTTTTGATTCTTTACAGCCACTATTGATGGAGCATATCTTTTCAGAAGGTTTCAGTGTTGGATTGGATGATTATTCCATGCCCATGGCACTTTTACAAGCTCTTCAAAAGAATATTCAAGTAATATCACCTTTGCTGTATCAGTTAAGGTCAACGTTCAATGAGCTGGTGGAGTTGCAGTTAGAGAATCACATTCGATCCGTCAAAGTTCCATTTACAAACTTTATCTTAAAGTTATCTTCATTAGGAAAATTATTTGACTCCAAAAGTGATTCAGCTATTAACAAGGTGGTTCAACAAATTGGATTTCTTGGATTGCAGCTTTCTGACAAGGGAAAATTTTATTCCAAGACATTGATCGAGGATGTAGCCTCTCTGTTTCACAATAGATATGTTTCTGATAAAATTGACTATCCTTCTGCTGAATTTGGATTAGTCAAAGGCTGTTTTTTCCATGGTTTAGATCCGTATGAAGAAATGGTCCATTCAATTTCTACAAGAGAGGTAATGGTTCGATCATCAAGAGGGCTTACTGAACCTGGAACCCTTTTCAAGAACTTGATGGCCATCCTTCGAGACGTTGTTATTTGTTATGATGGTACTGTAAGGAACGTTTGTAGCAATTCCATCATACAACTTGAATATGGAGTAAAGGCTGGAATGATGAAGCCTCATAATTTATTTCCTCCTGGTGAACCGGTTGGGGTTCTAGCAGCTACTGCCATGTCAAATCCTGCTTATAAGGCAGTTCTTGATTCTACTCCTAGCAGCACTTCATCTTGGGACATGATGAAGGTGATTGTCTTTTTCCATACTATCTACTATTATATTTTTTAGACTATTTCAATGAAAAGTTTGTTAAAAGGTTACTGTTTCATTCATCAAAGAAAAACTTCTGATATAGTAAAATTTCATCAATGAAATTGTTTCTTACCAAAAAGAAAAAAAGAAGTTGTTTCTTATCAATGAAAAATTTGTTGTCTTCCACTGTCCAAAATTTTCAGTGCAACATTTTTGCATCACTTAAATACTGTACCCATTGTTAAAGTTTTCCATTTTTTTCCCGCAGGAAATTCTTCTTTGCAAGGTCAGTTTTAAGAATGAGCCTATAGATCGTCGGGTGATATTATATTTAAATAATTGTGCTTGTGGGAGGAAACATTGCAATGAAAATGCAGCATATTTGGTTAAGAGTCACCTTAAGAAAGTTACACTTAAAGATGCGACTGTTGACTTCATGATAGAGTATGTTCCCCTTTTACTCCTTTGGTCTTTTTCCCCCCCTGTATTTCCTTTATTTATGTTTGCATGTTGTATTTGGTTTTTTAACAAGATATGAACTTCTCGATAAATTAAAAAAAACAAAATTGTTCCAAGAATACAAATTCTAGATGGAGGGAAAAAAAACAAAATAAATAAAATGGGAAAATAGAAATTCATGGAGAGAAATACAACCTAATAAAACAAGAAATATAATAGTAGTAAGAGGAGCTTTAGAAAAATCTATCCTTGAAGCAACCCAAAACACCATCTTTTAAGAACTTGAAGAATGCCAAAATCGAAGACAAACAAACCAACCAAAGCAAATTCACGCTGGATCAAGAACATCCTTTGATGAAGAAATATCCAATCCTTGAAGACTTTAAAAATCCAAGTATGGAGAAAGAAAGACTCCAACCCTTTCAGCTTCATCTATAAATAAGAACAATTATCTGAAAGAAGGGAAGATGAAGAGACTTCTTAGAAGGGGACATAATCCAAACTTCGAAACTGTCTTCAGAGAGATAAAACTCTCGAACTAAGAAATGACCTTTGGAGAACCAAAACACAATTAAGGCAATGGGACCCATCTAAATAAAAATGGAAGAGGAAAAGACTGCCAAATGGAAAAAGCTTAAAAAACCCTACAACTTCTCTTTCCTTGATTATATCATGCAGAGACAATAATGGCTGGATCAAATTCCAAAATAACCTCGAAGAGGGACTTTTCAGATTCCTCCAAGACATAAAACTGAAGCCCATAAAGGAAAATTTCCAGTAACCTCTTATGATGGATACCGAGGGGGTTTAAAAACCCCGACTGTATTTCCAATCTCAATGACTTTTCAATATCACAAAGAATCTCAGCCGAAAAACAAAATAAATGCTCATGTAAAAAAAATTTAATAGAAACTTATCCACCTTTTTGACAAAAAATTCAACCAAAGTTTCTAACCCTTATTCAAAGCTTTTCTATTTATTTATTTTTTTTTATAAGAAACGGAATATATTAAACCAAAAGGAGAGAAACAACCTACGGGCAAGGGTCGAGGAGGCCCTCCCCTAGAAAGCTACCACGTTACAGCTTGCCAATCACGGGAAAGTAAAGCTAGACTGTAATTACAAAAGAATCTCCTATGAGTAAGGCGCCATGAGGCTATAGTAATTTGTACATTTTCACAAAATATATAAAAAAGGTATTAGGGAATCTTTGAAGATCCATTGATTTCTTTCCTTCCAAAGACTCCAAAGACAGGCCCTGCCCGCACAGCTCCAAAGAGCCTTTTTCCTCTTAGAGCACCTCCTTGAACAATTTCAAGAAGCCAATCATCCACCTTACTGGAACAAGAGAAATATTTGTATTAGTAGATAGTGCCACCTTTTCCTTCGATATTTGTTGCTGACTTGTTGAACTTGAATCTAATCCCGTCTTTCTTTTCTTTATCATTGAGTCATTTTCCTCCTTGAAAAGAAACTGAAACTCTTCCAAAAAGGATTGGTTGCACAAATCTTCGATTGAATTATCTAAGAATTCTTAGACAATAGGAGAACCAATAGAATCAATGCTACTGATGGTAACATTGAAATCATCCTCATTATCAGAAAACTCAAGTTCTAACTATCGTTGTTCCACGTCGTCATTGGTTGAGTTTATGGATCCAAATGAAAGAGACTTTATACCTTTTTCCTTGTCTACTTTGGTCTTTTTGCAAGGTTCAATAGATCGATTTCCTTAGGCTCTTCTCTTTATACTCATTGAAAGCAACATTCAAATTCTTTTGGAGACTTTCAGCGGAATTTATCCTCTCAAGATCCTTCAATGCAAATGACTTGCATTTACATTCTGGCATAGAAAAGGGGGAGGGTCAATAAATCTTCTAAAAATTCTTCATGCAAGAGGATAAAAATGGGCCTTTAAAACAATCCTTTGACTGCTTTTTCTAACCAAAATTCTGATTTACAACCTAGTCATCAATGATAAAGTCATTTGGGATATTTGATTTATTGGGATAATCAGCCAATAAAGGGTCATTAAAGCAGGGAGTCTGCATGATGTTCTCCAAACTTAACCCTTGTTCAAATTCCTTCGGATGCTCAAGGAATTAGGAACCATTTCTTCCTCTTCATCTGATAATGAAGGTATATAATCCACCAGAAAACCTTTTCATCTTCCAAAACCGACCTAACTCTCTCTGAATCTTTCTTGTTTCTTGAACCGGCTGAGATAAAAATTCGCCAATCCATTGCTTTCTTTGTAGATTCGAGTTGTTTCAGCAGAATTTTCCGGATAATCCATGATTCTAATGAAAATGCTACCCGAAACAGGGTCTTTAATTTCGATTCCAGCAGGGAGAAATCCGCAAGAATTTGGATGAACTTCAACGAGGGCTTCTTAAAGAGTTCAAAGATTTACGCGAGCATCTCATAAATCCACCCAACTGGGTACCAATGGTTTCAAAACAACGTCGATTCCAAAATTTCAACGGTAATTTCTGTATATTAATCCAACCACCATAGCTCGTTTTAACCTCTTGTCTACTATGCCTCGTAAAACTCCATTTTTCAACTTTCAAATGAAGAGAATCATAACTTTCTCCATTTTCTAAGATTACTTAACAATCTACCCTCCTCAATTTCATGAGAGCCTTATCATCCATAAATGGATTGATCAAACAATCTTGTGAGAATTTATTGTTCAATGTTGCTGAGATTGTTCTCTAGTCTTCATGTGCAAAAAGTCTTGTAACAACAATATGGTTATTCCGATCTACCTTAACAACTTCAGTCTCTTTCTTAACCCAAAAGTCTTGTTGCTCCTTGTTGAGTTTCGAATCTTGTTTAGGAGAGATGAACTTATCTTTCCTTCGGGCTTCAGATAATGATAACACTTTTTCTTTCATTGATAATGATAAGAAGTTAGAGATATAGCATACGAACAACAAACCCCTTGGATGATAGGTTTCTCCTTCAAATTTCTTTCATTGAATTCCACCAAAGAGTCTTTTAGCATATTCGAGAAACTAACCCAACCATTGTTGTTAATCCCAAGTTCCCAACAAGTACAGACATGCACTTTCTTCCACCCGAGGTAGGCCAAATGATGCATTCCAGAAACCAACTGTGCTGAAAGCACCACACTTCTGAAGACCGCAAGTTCCCAACCCATCCCTGTTTTGTTTGAAGAACCTTGACTGAAGAGGCATCATTTCCACCAAAGCACTCTCAAACCATTGAAGTTGGTGGGACAAAAGAAGAGGAAGCTGAACATTCTTCTTAGATTCATTAATAAAAAAACAATCTTTTCCGCACAATACCCAATAGTACTTGTTTTCAACGCTGCAACTTCTCAATTCCATTTTCCAAAAATCCTTGGAGTTAAAACGAATTCTGATCAAAACTTGGACTTGACTTAATTACTTACTTGATCTGCACTAAGCTTTACAGCTTCAAGAGCTATCAACCAAACATTGCACTAAGCTTCATGACTTCAAGAACTATCGACYGACAAAGAAGCTAGGGGGAGAGAGAAGAGAGCATTTTCCCATCTATCCTTTTGTCTTTTTGCTTGAATGTTTTATTTTTTTTAACAAGAAACGAACTTTTCATTGATAGATGAAAAGGAACATAAAATGTGTTCCGAACTTTTTATTTGTTATAATCAGTTCCATTGTGTTCTATTTCAAAGCGACTGATTGATCGGGTGTTGTCTGTCCAAATTATAACAACATTTGAATGACCTCAAGTTGAGAAAAGTTTTTTTGCTTTTTCGTTTTTTGTTTTGAGAAAAAACAATAATTTCATTGGTAGAGTAAAATATGCAAAAGGGAGAGGAGCCTCCAAACCACTAGAGTGGGTAAAAGAATTTTCTATAATCGGTAAAGGGATGCATATATTTACACCCATACATCGCCAAAAGATCACTGAACTAAAAAGGG